TTTTTTTTTTTTTTTTTTTGAGACGGAGTCTCGCTGTGTTGCCCAGGCTGGAGTGCAGTGGCATGATCTGAGCTCACTATAACCTCTGCCTCCTGGGTTCAAGTGATTCTCCTGTCTCAGCCTTCCGAGTAGCTGGGATTACAGGCATGCGCCACCACACCTGGCTAATTTTTATATTCTTAGTAGAGATAGGGTTTCACCATATTGGTCAGGCTGGTCTCGAACTTCTGACCTCAGGTGATTCATCCGCCTCAGCTTCCCAAAGTGCTGGGATTACAGGCATAAACCACCGCGCCTGGCCTTCTTTTTTTCTTTTTAATGGGAGTAGAGCTTGGGGCCCCCACTGGCAAGGAAGCAGAGGCAAGAAAAGATCCTCTGTGCTTCTTGACCACTGCCTATGACTACAAACAGAGCCATGACCACTGTACACCAACCACTCCATGTCCTGCATCTGCTGTGTATTCCTATACTTATACACAGCAGGTGCTTAACACAGGCTTGTGGGATAAGTGATCAGATTTTTCCACATATGCCTTCCACAGCAGTTACGTTATTTCAGTGGCTGCAGAGTATCTCAGTGAGGGCATAGCCCCTGCCTAGTCTTAACCTTTCTTCTCTTTCTGAACATTTAGTAACACCTGTTTCTTGGTTTTAGCATCACTGATAAAGCTGCCATGAACCTGCTCATCAACTGATGTTTCACTTTTTCTTCTGTTGACTTGTTTCCCTGGGACTCACTCCAGGGAGGCAGTGCACAGGGAGTGAATATGGCAGGTGTTCTTAAAAGCTTCTCAGGACTCAGGGTGGCCTAGAAGTGTAGCAGGGGAAAAGGTTTGGTAGTCAGGGTTAAATTCTAGTCTAGCTTCAGACCCTTAGGCAAGTCATTCTCCTTTCTGAGCCTCAGTTTCTGCATCTGTGAAGTGGAAATAGTGTCTCTCTGAAGGGGACAGTGTGAAGAGCAAATGAGATAAGGTACAGGAAGTCTATTGGCCCCAGCTGATAGGAAACAGTGCAAAAGCCCCATCCACCACCCAAGGTCCCAAAGGCATCTCCCCAGAGTCGGTAGCTCTGCTGTCTCTTCCTTCTCCGGAGTCGCCAATGACCCTGCCCATCACTACATCCTCAGTTGCCCTAGGAACTACAGCCACATGTCTGAAGGAACCCTTTCTTATACTTTTGGAGAGCAAGTGCCCCATCACTGCTTGGCTCCTGACAGTACATAGGAACACAGGGACAGGTCTTTAGGCAAAGGTCCCCAGGTCCGGGTCATGAGGAGTAGAAGGGAGGAAGCAGAGAGGGGGCCTAACCCAGGACTGATGGACCCTCAGAACTTTGGCAGCAGAAAACAGGACAGGCTGGGCTTTCACAGTAGAAGCCTAGATGTCTTCCCAGTTAAGGCTTGAGTTCTGCCTCTGAGCCTTATTCACCCTATTCCCCATCTCTCCTCTTTCTCCAGGTTGTCCAAACCCTTTCCTTTCTCCAAAGCTCAACTCAAGGGTGACTTGTTTCAGGCAGCCTGCCTGCCTCCCATCTACACGCCTGGTCTGCCTGTGCCAGCCGTCAGGAGCCGAGCCATGGGCTATCCCAGCTGTAATGGAAATGGCTCTCCATCCAGCTCTGCCAGCTCAGGCCTCAGCACTGCCCAGATGACCATCACACGGCTCAAGGTCAGTCTCCAGTGATCTTAGTTGATCCCCACAAGAGCCCTGTAACATGAGCACAGCCAGGTTAGTAGTTGTTCCCATTTTAGAGGTGGAGACACTTAGGCCCAGAAGGGAACAGTGGCTTGCTAAGGCCCACAGCATCAACTACCCAGCTGACTTGAATCTAGGGCTTCAGAATCCTTGTGCAGAGTTCTTTGCTCTCCTGGAGCCATGCCTTAACAAATATTTGTTCATTCATTTGACAGCATCCTCCAAACATCTCTTTTATGCCTGGATAGGGGCCATACGAGAAGGGAGATGGAGTGCAAACAGTAAGGTGCCCAGTATAAACCATTCTGTGGCCACAAGAGGGACTGGGGATGTGTATGTGTCAGGCTCCCTGAGTATTCCCAGCTGAATAGATTGGTGGGGAGGGAGTCAGGGAGCCCATCCCAAAGAGGTGAGGCCTGGCCTGGACAGATAGATGGGCCAGACTAGGTTAGCAAAGGAGAAGGGAGAGCAGCAGGAGAACAAGGGCCAGAGGTGAGGGAGGGCTTGGCCAGAAGCCCTTCAGTGTGCCTGAAACTTGGGGTGCAAAGGGAAAGGGAGTAAGAAATGAGGCTGGAGGCCGGGCGCGGTGGCTCACGCCTGTAATCCCAACACTCTGGGAGGCCGAGGCGGGTGGATCACCTGAGGTCAGGAGTTTGAACCTGGCCAACATGGCAAAACCCTGTCTCTACTAAAAATACAAAAATTAGACGGGCATGGTGGCGGGTGCCTGTAATCCCAGTTACTTGGGAGGCTGAGGCAGGGAAAATTGCTTGAACCTGGGAGG